GCTCACTAGCTGAGCGGGGCACACCATGCCTCCAGGTGTAAGAGGCCTGCAGGGACCGGCACCGTGAGCTCCCGAGTCCCAGGCACTCCCAGGAGGGATCACGTAACTTAAGGAGTTCAGGGACAGCCTAAGCAACATAACAAGACCCTGAGCCTTTCAACAATGTCTGGAGAAGCAGCCGAGGGCCCAGCAATGCCATCAGGAACTCAGGTGACTTCTGCCCCAGAGGTGTGGGGAGAGTGTAGGGAGAAAATTTGAGGAAGGAGGAAGACGTTGTGTGGCATAGGAGAAGAGCGGATGACCCTGTCACAGTCAGCCCAGTATCAGTGCTGGGAGCAGAGAATTCTTCAGCAGAACAATATCATTCAGCATGTTAAGTCGCTGCTGTTATTTCTTCTGTTTCTCCTCCTCCTTCTTTTATTTTTTTAATTTGTTTTTGAGACAGGGTCTCGATATGTAGTTCAGGCTGGTCTTGAACTCACAGCAATCCTCCTGCCTCAGCTTCCTGAGTGCTCAGATTACAGGTGTGTGCTACCACACCTGGCCTTGTTATTTCTAACTAGTGGAATAGTAGAGCTATAAACCCAAGGACTTTTTTACTTCATTCCCTGTTTCATGTATATTTAAGTAATAGAATAAAAATAATTTAAGCCAACACCAGAGGTCTCAAAATCTTTCCCTTTCAAGGGATTTATCACACAAATTTGAGAAATACCAGTAGAATGCTTATTTAATAAATCCGATTCTCTCACACTGAAGATTGGAAAAGCGGCTTTGAGAAGTCAGAGGACCTCCTCCGAGATGCCCAGCTGGAGGGTGACGAATCTCTCTGTCTTTTCGGTTTCTCTGCGCTCCAGTGCCTCTGCAGGTCACTCTCAGCACCCGTCACATCATATAAAAGTCACCAGTGTAATGGTGCTATACTAGTGGCAATGTGACCAAACAGTGATCAACTTTTTAAAATTTTTTTTGTCTTTTTGAGACAGGTCTTGCTATGCAGTTCAGGCTGGCCTTGAGCTCACTTTGTAACCCAGGCTGGTCTCGAACTCACATTGATCCTCCTGCCTCAGCACCCCAGAGTGCTGGGATTACAGTGTGCACTACCATCCCTGGCTAAACAATGATCAACCATCATCAAATGTCTTTTTTTTTTTTCTAATTAGGTTTTTTTTTTCTTGTTATGTCTCCAGGTGGCCTCAGACTCCTGGGCTCAAGGGACCCTCCTGCAGCAGTCTCCCAAGTAGGTAGGCTTACACGCATGCGCCCTCACACCTGGTGACCTCAGATACCTTTGCTTCTTTGCTTTTTGTCCTCGGTCTTCATGGTGGCGTTAAGCTCAGTGCCCTCGCCTTGCTTGCCTGTGAGCCGCCTTGACATCAGGCATGGGTAAAGGTCTCTCCGTCTGCTGACGGGACGAGGCGCTGTCACAGCCAGAGGCAGCAGGGGGCGCACTCCTCTCACACCACCGCTGCGCTGGAGAAACAACCGCAGCTGAGGTGAGACAGGGCAGGCTGCACAGGCTCTGCTGAGGCTGGGCGCCCACTGCGGCGGGAGCCCGCTCGGTGACCAGCTGGCTGTGTGTCGTGGGTGGGATCACTGGCCCGGTGTTGCGCATCTGGCTCGGACTTCTTGAGAGGTGGGGTGGTTGCATTCTTGAGCTCCCGACAGACCGAGGGGGCAGTCTGAAAGGCGTATGGCGCCTACCCACGCTATGCACTTAACTCTTTTTTTTCTTTTTTCTTTGGCATTTTCTTAAGAAATTTAATTCAGGATGGTCAGCGAATGCAAGGCATACAGTGTCTTCGTGAAAGTTAAGAGAATCCAGTTGCAAAGGAAGCACTATGTACAAGCTGCTAAAAGTGCAATGGGTCCCCTGTTTCACAAAGTACAAAAGTTATTTCAGGTACAAAGAAAGGTGTAAACGATGCAGGCACGTACCCGTTCTGTCACGTGAGTTATATGGCAGCGTGGTCCGGACAGAAGCAGACAAACACCTGCTCCGTGTGTTGAATCAGGCAGTAGGATCTCTCATCCCTCATATTGAGTTGTGCGAATCTCCCGAAGAGAGTGTTCTTGACCAAGCCTGGTAGCGATGTAAAGGCAGTGCTCCTGAGGAAGCAACCACACCGCACAGCAGGTAGCTGCTCAGAGCGGCCCCGCAACCTGCCAAGGGTCTGACACGTTACTTCCGGCTCTGACACGTCACTTCCGGGTCAGCTGCCTTCCTCATCCGGTGGAACCAGGGCCGAGACTGCCCAGCACCTTCTGAAGCCTGAGGACCTACCATCCTGTGCAGGCTTTTCTAGAACAATGTAGTCCTTGCTGGTCCTCTTTCTGGTGTGCTCCCGTCTGCGGCATGGGCAAGGGTCGTGGTGGTGTTTTGAGATTTTTTTTTTTGTACCAGGAATGAACTCATGTCCTCAGGCTTGCCAGGCAAGCGCTTATCCCGCTGAGCTATCCCCGGCCCGTGGTGGTGTTTTGCCTGGACTCGGGACACATTTCCCTAGGGAGGAAGGAAGTCTGGCGCTGAGACTGCACCTCTCTTGGCCCCGCCCATCCCCTCAACGCTCCCTGTGTCAAGGTCTTTTTCAGATCCCGAGGCTATTAGAGATGCATGATTTCCAAAAACACCGGACCTGTGTAATGACAAAAAAACTTTGATAAATGGATTTGGGGAACAAGTAAAACTAGAGAGAATTCATATTTTTAAAGATGTTTTTGGTGAAAAGTTAGAAATTTAGCACATTGGGGGCAGAACTATTCCTCTTCTTCCTGTGTCTTCTGACCCTCCCGTGTTTGTAGCCTCATCACCTCTCAAAGGTGGAGGAGGTGGCAGTGCTGGGTCCTCTGTGTCACCACTCGGAAGCCTGGTTCAGAGGGAGGGGAGCATCCTTTGAATGACAGCAAGTGTTTCTGGCTTCTCATCGTACTCTGCAGAAATCCTCTGGTTTCCAACAACTATGACTTGCAGAAGGTCCCGGAAATTTTTAGGTGTTTAGTTTTAGTTTTGCTTTGTTTGCTGGAGATTGAGCCCCTGGCTTCTAGCATGCTCAGAACCCAATCTACTGAGTTGGATTCGGGCATGGCAAGGCTGGTGGGGGTGGGGGGAGTGGGCGTGGCCTGTTAGCTAACAAGATCCCAGACACCTGCGAGGAACAGTGCCCAGCTCCTCACGAGAACTTGAGCAGGTTTTCTTTTCAATTCAGTGACATTAATTACTTATCTTTTGAGTGGCTTTATTTGTTGTACATTATATATACACATAATGATCACATTCATCATAGGGAATTTGTACCTGCACATGACACATCTTGCTTCTTTTTTCCCCCATTCCCCACCCCTCCCTTCTGCCCTTCTTCTTCTTATTTACAAAAGCTTTGTTTCCATTTTTCCCCTTCTATTCTCTTTTTTCTCATCTCTTCCTTTCCCCCTCCTGGCCTAGATCTGATGTCAGCCTGCAGTGTGGGACTCCAGCACCACCTCTCAGGACCTGTATGTGGAAATTCTCTCGAATTTCCTTGAGATTGAGACAGCGTCAAAGGACACGTGCAGGCCGTGAAGGCTTTGCTCCCCTAACTTTCTGGGACAGCCCATGCTGTTTCCCAGATGCAGTACACGCTTTTATCCTTGCTGTCAGCCTCTTTCTCTTTCCTTGGCTCAAGCTCGTTCTGCAGACCCAATTTCTCTCCCACTCATCATTTTTGCTTTCTTGAATAAACTTTATGTCAGCCTGCTTTGGGGTCCCAAGGGAGATTTTTGAGGGTGGGGTCCCCGGGGTGAAGAATGCACCTGTGCAAGACATGTGCAACAACAGCAGGCAGTGTGGAGCAGAGCAGAATGTAAGAGCCAGAGCCACCTGTGTCTTTTTTTTTTTTTTTGTCTTTTTGAGACAAGGTCTCGCTATGCAGCTCAGGCTGGCCTTGAGCTCACTTTGTAGCCCAGGCGGGCCTCAAACTTGCAAAGATACTCCTGCCTCAGCCTCCCAAGTACTGGGATTACAGGCGTGTGCCACCATGCGCAACACTGCCTATGTCTTCATTGTATAATTCTTATACAGGTTGTTATCTCATATTTACATTCTTAGAGAGCCGTAACCAGCACCTGCGTGTTTACCTGTGCTGAGTCATGGTGACATAACTGAATCCACTGTGCACCTGTGCTAGACAAGTGGGGTCACACCCTCAGGTGTCCTTAGACCCCCTGAGCTTTGAAGCAGCCTAGGTGGTTCCCTACCCTTTGCCACTGCTTTTTGCTCCTCTCATCAAATTCTCTGAGAAGAACCTGGAATGCAGCTCCAGAAGGCAGGATGAGCAACCTCAACCCAGTAACAACTCGTCCAGCCACGATTTAGAAACAAGCTGCCTGATGACTCCACCCATGAGCTGCACCCCAGCCCAGACCAGCAAGCCCTGAAGGTGACGGTGTGAGAAGTGAGTGCGCATGCATGGCAGCTTGCACTTCCATGTCCTCCGGAGCACTCCAGTTTCAAGGTGCCATCAGTCGCACTACGTGTGGACCTCTCAGCTGTGTAGTGCATTGCCAGAGACCTTGTCACACACACCCATCTGAGCTGTGGCTTTTACCTCTTCAGGCAGAGGTCGGAGCACGAAGGCGCCAGGGATCCACAAGAATTAATGAGGCTTAGAGACCTGCACGAGGTGGTGGATTCCTCAAGCCGCAGCTGCTTGTTAAAACTCCAGGTGCTCTTGGTCCTTAGGTCAAGGTGGCTGAGAAGGAGCAGCAGAACAGAAGGGAAAGGAAGCCTGGGTTTCAGATGCAGGTGAGCAAGAGGCAGCCACAGGGCTGGTATGGGAGAGCCTAGGGCTCCTCAGAGATAGGAAAACACCAGAGCCCCTTTGAGAGCAGCCTCCAACTGTCCTTCCAGGACAGAGCAGTCATGCTCATAATGCTTACCTCACTCTGGTTTTTAAAAAATCTTTTGCAGAATTCCAGAACGGGTAGTGATCAAACCGAGACCCACACAGAACCGAACCAGACCGTCTAACACAAGAGGAGTCTTTATTAGGCAGGAGAGCAATGCAGTGGGCTGCCTAGCAGACCAAGACAGCCCTGAGCTGCGCAAAGCTTTGGATTTTTAAGGGTTTTTTTGGGGGGAGGGTGCTCGTGGCCCAGAACAGCCAAGAAAGAGGTTTTGTGGTTAGAGCAGTTGATTTTGCAAGAACATCTGGTACTTTTATGGGTGGGGTCAGCCTTTGCAGTTGGGCCCATTAGGGAAGTGAAGTAGAGTGGGCAGGGCACCTGGGGCTGGGCGCTTTTTCTCTTTGCAAGGGGTGGGGGGGGGGTCCTTTCAGAGACTTATCATCCCAGACTTGATCTAATAGGGACAAGGGTGAAGTGTCTCCTCAGTGACTACTTCCTGCTGGACTGGGGCAGTGTCAAGGGGACTCATCTGGGTCCTCTAGAACTACCGGCTGGAATTGGGGATCTGAAAGAGGCATAAGGTTAAAATTTTTGGTTGTTAGTTTTTGGACAGTGTTGCAAACGAGGGAGATAGCACAGGGGGCTGCAAGGAGGAGAAGGCAGATTGCCGTGAGGGGAGTGGGAGCAGCTGTGGGAGAAGGGATGTCCATAACCCAGAGCTTCCTGGAGCAGCAGAAGAAAGCCCTCAGCAGAGGAGATGGGCCTGGTCTTGCATCTGTTGGATTTTTTTCTTGGACGAGACCCAACTGGTTGGCATAAATACAGCATTTTTCTCCCAGAAACAGGCAAGTTCCACCCCTCTCCACTGGGAGGAGGTCGAGGGTGTGCCTATTTTGGAGGTCGACGGCTGCTAGTTGGTCTAACTGTGAATAGACTAAATTGAAGGTGGAGGAGACATGGTCAATGTGGTTAGCCAGCTGTTTACTGAGCTGAAGGCTGAGGCCTATGGATATACCCAAGGCGGATGTCCCAAGGGCTGCCACCAAAACAGAAGCTCCCAGGACAACCCCGATAGAAACGCTGCCCTGAGAGCACCCAGGTGAGTGGAGGAACTATTCTGTGAACTCAGAGTTGGTATAGATCTGCAGATTAGGAAGGGGAAGGACGGGGAGGCAGGTCATGTTGGGATGATAACAGGAGAGGAGCTGGGAGTTGGATAGGAAATAACGGGGATGTGTAGCTGGGGTAGAAGAACTTGGGGGTGAGGTGATGGTTTGGTTGCAGGGTATAGAACTGTCAGTTTTGAACTTTCTGTAACAAGTGAGATTAGCCCCTGGGAGAAGATAGAGCTGGGGGGTCTGTCGCAGGGAGCTTTGGGTAGAGCATATCGTGGAGGAGTTACGATACCAGGGGATAATGGTCACTGTGGGGTCTAGCAGGGAGGTGCAGATCTAGCTCTCTGACAAGTTAGAGGGAGTCGCATGAATAGCCTGAAAGAGAATCTGGGTGAAGTTAGTTAGGGAAGGGGCGTGGAGTAGGGAGGAGTTGAGTTTTGTTTGAAATCTTTGGAGCCTTGGCGATAAAGGTGGGGGGGTATATAATTCTCGGTAGATATTGAGCGTGAGGCAAGGGTCTGTACCATGGACATCTATACGGAGGTATATATAGATGCCCTTAGTCTCCCAGGGAGTGTCCCAGGGATTTTGGATGGTGATGTAGGTGGGGTTACACTGGTCCGAGAGACAGCTCTGATTTGAGAATCGGTATCCTGCAAAGAGGCAAGCCCCGGGATTTGGTTGGCCAATGGCAAATTTGAAAGGCCAGGTTGTTGAGGAGTAGTATCCTTGGTAGGCTTTAACGTCTGACCAGGTGGAGCAGTAGGAGGGACAGTACCCAGGGGCCCAGTCGGCGCTCGAGAAACAAGCATATTTGTTACAAGGGGTAAAGCCGCGTTCGCGGTTTAGGTTGTGTGCACTGGTAGAGCTGTGGATGTGGCAGACAGACTCTGCACAGGCGTCGACGTTTAGGGTAATTGGCCCACTACAGCCTGCGACAGGGCAGTCAGTAAACGTGAGCGTGTTGCCACTGGTGGACTTGGCCCAGAAACGCCAACGGGGACGTTGGAGATTGGGTAGCATATGAACCCCCAGGAGGAAAGGGAGAAGGAGAATGGGACTCATTCTGGGATGGAGTCTAAGGTATCGGAGTGCCTTAGGAGAAGTTTAGTGGGAGAGAGCACCTGGGACGACCAGGAGGGCTTATCTGGCTGTGGATCGGCCGGTGTGGGCGCCCTCTTGAGAGCAGAGAGGTGGACCCAGGCTGGCTTCTTGAGAAGCTTGGCGGTAGTTGGTGTGCTGAGGACCACAGTGAATGGCCTGACCAGCATGGATGAGGAGCTGAGGCCGATAAATCCTTGAGGAGCACCTGGTCACCAGGCTGGACCCGTAGAGTCACTGAGGTTTTGTCAGGTTTAGGTAGGCACTGATCTGCATGGGAACGTAGGAGGTTGCGGGTCAGGGAGAGAAGGGGCAGATAGCTGGCAAGGGGACTAGGGTCAGTCGGAGGAAGTTGCAAAAGGAAGGGTCGCCCATGCATAAGCTCAAAAGGGCTGAGACCAGAGGGTTGGCAGCGGGGCAGTGCAGAGTTAGGTTAGGGCCATGGGTAGAAGGACTGCTGGGTTTCCATGGAGTTTGGAGAGGTGTATTTTGAGAAGATGATTAGCTTTTTCTACTTTACCAGATGATTGGGGATGGTAGGGAGTATGTGGGGCCCAATGGATAGCCAGGACCTTGGAAACTTGTTGGGTGATCTGGTAGACAAAGCTTGGCCCATTGTCAGACTGAATGGAATGTGGGAGACCAAAGTGGAGGATGATCTTTGTGAGGAGGACCTGTGTCATGGTATCAGCTGTTTCATGTGAGGTGGGGAAAGCCTCAGTCTAGCCTGTGAAGGTGTCTACCCAGGTAAGGATGAATCTGAATTTTTTGTGTCTGGGCATGTGGGTGAAATCAATTTGCCAATCCTGTCCTGGTAAGGCTCCCCAAAACTAGTGGGGGGAAAAAGTGGGAGGAGGTCGTAGAGTGCCCTGTGGGTTGGATTTAGAGCATACAGTGCATTGTGAAGAGAAGTCTTGTAAGATGGAGGTTTGTCCTGGGTAAACTTCTTGATGGGATCAAGAAGTTTTTTGAGTGGTCTTCATCCTATGTGTAGGGAGTTGTGTATTTGAGTGAGGAACTGCTTGGTGTGGTCATCTGGGAGGCAAAATTTTCCTTCCAAAAGGAGCCAGCCCTCTGGGCTAGCCGAAGCACCTCTCTGGCATAATTGCCTGAGCTGGGTGTTTGAATAAGTGAACCTGGTAGGCTATAAAGGAGGGGCAGCTAGGGCCAGAGTATCACATGTGAGGTGTGGGGGTGGCCACGGTTGAAGGGCCACCAGCTTGGCTGCTTTGTCTGCTTGGGCATTTCCCATTGTGATCTCATCAGTACTTGCTGGTGACCTCTGAAATGTATGGTGGCTGCCTGGGTTGGACAGGTGGTGACCAAGAGAAGTTGTAAGATAAGCTTGCCATTTTGAATGGAGGAGCCCTTGGTGGTGATGAAGCCACGCTCTGCCCAGATGGCTGCGTGGTAGTAGACTATATGATAGGCATATTTGGAATCTGTGTAAATGTTAGTGGTGGTCCCTGTAGCTAGGGTCAGAGCCCAGGTGAGGGCTATCAGTTCTGCTTTTTGTGAGGAGGTGCCGGAGGGAAGGGGGTTGGCTTTGATGGTTTGGGTTAGGGAGACTATGGCGTAGCCTGCTCTGGGTCCGTCTGAACCCAAGGAGGAGCTCCTGTCTATGAACCAGGTGTGTTGGGCCTAGGGAAGAGGTTGCATCTGTATAGAGGTAGCGGTAGGAATGAGGTCTGTTAGAGACTCGCGGCATGAGTGGCTGGGTTCTGTATCTGCGAGGGGAAGGAGGAATGCAGGGTTGAGAGCGCCACAGAGTTTTAAGGAGACCTGTGGGTTTTCAATAAAGGTGAGGTGGGAAAAAAAAAGGTGAGGTGGAAGAGCTGGAGGTGAGAGGGGCCAGGAGGTGTAGAGCCTTATGTGAGAGAAGGTCAGTTAGGTGGTGCGGGGAATAGACGGTAAGTTGTCCCTGGAGGGTTAATTTTTGTGTCTCCTGTGTAAGGGTGATGGCCACCACTAGGGCCCAAAGGCAAGGAGACCAGCCTCGTATAGCAGGGTCAAGCTGTTTGGACAGATATGCTATGGGTGTGAAGTCTTGGCCTTTGTATTGACCTCAAACCCCCAAAGTTATGCCCTGAGACTCTGAGGTAAAGAGTAGGATCTGGGAGGGCCGGTGCTTGGAGAAGCTGGATTTTGATTTGGGTAAAGGCGCTGAGGACAAGGGCAAGATTGGAGAGGGGTTCCTCCGAATGGCATCATATAACGGTTTAGCCAGGGGCACGAAGCGGGCGATCCACAGGCAGAAGTATCCTGCCAGGCCAAAGAAGGATTGGATCTGTTGTTTGGTGAGGGGGGCATTAGGGCATGAAGGGTCACTCTACAGTCAACACTGAGATCTCCTGTGGTGGGGGTAAGTTGGAACCCCAGGTAGCAGACTGAGGGGAGGGAGAGCTGTGCATTAGCTTTGGAGATGCGGTATGCCCTTTTAGAGAGGAAATTTAGAAGGAGTATTGTGTGAAGGTGTGAGAGGTAAAGAGAGGGGCTGCATAGAAGCAGGTCATCAACATATTGGATCAGGTGGCTGGATTTGAGGTCTAGCATGGCTAGGTCAGTCATGAGAGCCTGACCAAAGTAATATGGGCTATCCCTGAAACCTTGTGGGAGGACAGTCCAAGTAGTTGTGAAGTGGTGTGTATGGTGGGGTCTTCCCAGGTGAAAGTGAACAGGGGATAGGAGGAGGGGTGTAAGGGAATAGTGAAGAAGGCATCCTTGAGATCAAGAACTGAGAAATGGGTTGTGTTTAGTGGGATGTGGTTGAGAAGAGTGTAGGGGTTAGGAACTACAGGGGTGACAGGGCAGGCAGCTGAATTGATAAGGTGGAGGTCCTGGACTAGTCTATAGAACCCATTAGGCTTAATGACAGGGAGGTTGGGAGAATTATAGGGGGAGTGGATAGGGGTGAGCAGTTTGTTGGTATGGAGTCGGTCTATGAGAGGTTTTAGGCCCAGGCAATGTTTATGTGAGATGGGGAATTGGGGGCAATTAGGGAAGTGAGAAGGGTCTAAGGGTGTTACAATTCCTGGGCTGTGGTGTTGTGTTATGGTGGGTTGTGAGGTATCCCAGAGAGTGGGGTCTATCTTATGGGCCAGGAAAGGGGGGAGGTCAGAGGTTGTATTGGACGTTAGGGGTGAAGAGAACAGGAGAATGGCTAGAAGTAGCGACGGCGTGAGGGCCTTTGGGAAGGAAAGGGTTATATGGAGTTTGGTGAGAGCGTCTCACCCCAACAAGGGAGTGGGGCATCTAGGCATTACTAGGAAGGAATGGGTGAACTGTTTTTGGCCAATCAAACAAGACAAGGGTCCTGTTGAGTGTGGGAGTTGGGGAAGGCCCTCAACCCCTACCACCACGATCTGTGACAGAAAGGTTTGTCTGGCATAATTTGGGAGGATGGACCATGAGGCCCCCGTGTCAACAGGAAGGAAATTGACTTACCTGCCACCTGGACTCGTACCCTGGGCTCCTCAGATGTCAGCAGGACCTCGTCTGCCTCTTCAGTGGGGGTGTGGGAACCCAGGCCCAGTCAGTCCTCTCTGGCTAGCCCCAGCAAGTCCATCAGAGACGGTTGTGGCGTGGGAGGCTGGGCTGGGGCGGAGGGCCCCTCTTGCTGTAGAAAGGGGCAATCCACCTTTTAGTGCCCTTTCTGTTTGTATTGTGGACAGGGTCCTGGAGGAGGGCATGGATTAGGACACTCCCGTGCCCAGCATCCCTCTTGTCTATACTTAAAACAAGGTCTTGGCAGTTGTTTGCTGGGTGTCTTATTAGACTATTTGGGGTTTTGAGGCCTGAGGGCTGCTGCGAGGAGTTGGCACTTCTGCTTGGTGCAGGAAGTTTTTTCTCCTTTTTTGCATCCTTGTGGCTGTTAAAGACCTTGAAGGCCAGGCTAAGCAGTTCATGGTGTGGGGGGGTGTGGGGACCCTTCTCAAGATGCTTTAGCTTTTTGCTAATATCTGGGGCTGGTGGTGAAATGAAGGAGGTGTTTAGGACTAGTTGCCCCTCTTCAGAAGAGGGATCAAGGTGGGTAAATTTGGTGAGTGCCTGTGAAAGCGTGCCATAAAGGTGGCGGGGTTTTCAGTGGGATCTTGGGTGATTTTTTGGAGTCTGTCCCAGTTAACTGCCTTACAGGTGGATTTTTGGAGGCTGGCAAGCAGGCAGATAACCATTTGGTCTCAGGCTAGGGGTCCTGGGGAGTTAGGCTGATAATCCCGTCTGGGGTCGACTTGGGGGACCGCCTATTTACTTGGAGGAAGGTTTAGTCAGTGCAGTGCCTCTCATCTGCGTGACCCTGGGCTGCTAACCAAATTGTATCTTTTTCTTCCGGGGGTGAGAGTGGAAGAGAGGAGGGTGTAAAGATCATTCCATGTAAGTTGGTACATTTGAGTTGGGTATTAGAATTTTTTTATATAGGTAGATGGGTCTCATGTGAAGGAGCCTAAGAATTTTTCTAATTGGGAAAGGTCAGAGAGTGACCAGGGCTGGTGGACATATACTAAGCCCTCAGCTCCTGCTACCTGTCGTAATGTCGAAAAAGCCAGAGGGTGAGGAAGACTGGAGATTGGGTGCCAGTAGGGACTTGGAGTGGGTGTGTGACAATGGGGAGAAGAGAGTGTCGAGGAGGTCTGTGGAAGGGGTGGATAGAGAGGAGGTGGGGAGGGAGAAGGAGAAGAAGGTGGTGCGGGGGACAGCATGGGTGAAGAGGGACTGGGAGATCCACACGGAGGAGATGCCTCCAGGTGGGCCTGGGATGGGGCCAATGGCGAGGGGGCGGGTCACCGAGAGGCTTGGGAAAGGCTGAGAGAGAAGTGGCATCTTCTGGCAAGCAACATCGAGAGACAGGAGACCTGGCAAGCAAGAAATGCAGAGTTGGGGTCAGTCACGAAGGGCAAATAAAACTTGGACATAGGGTGTCTCAGACCATTTACCATTTCGGCGACAGAAGTTATGTAGATCGCACAAGACGTTAGAGTCTAGGGTACCCTCAGGTGGCCAAATAGAACCATTGTCTAGTTTGTATTGTGACCAGGCCATTTGACAGAGGAAAGTGAGACATTTGACTTTAAGTTCTGTAAGACCCAAGGGCCCTCGGAGGACTGACTGGAGGCAGTGGAGGACTGAGGAATTATAGGAGGAGCGTGAGGTAGAATTTCCCATAGTGAGGAAGAGTGGGGGGAGTGAGACTAGAAGAGGGATGAGACAGGTGATCCTGGTTGACCACGAGAAGTCCCACATGGACCGAGACACCCAAGCCCCCTGAGCGGACGTCTCCGGTCGGGGAGGGGGTTGGGGGATGAGTGAGGATGACTCGGCCTGTCGACAGGTCTTTGGAGTGAGGCTGAAGGGAGTGAGAGGCATAAAGCCTGGGGAACGAGCGAGCCGTCTCTGGGAGAGGGTCAGCTGAGATCGGGAGAAGGGGAGGAAGGAGGGAGGGAGGGGGAGAGGATGGAAGGAAGGAGGAAGGAGTAGCAGGTGAAGTGGTTATAAGTGAAGTCAGAAAATGAGCCGTGAAGGAACTCACAGTCGAGCCATTCAAGGAGACCGGCAGGAGACGGGTTTGGAGAAGGGGGTTGTGAGGAAAGCCTCCAAGAACTCAAAGCAGCGATGAGAACGGAAATAGAGAAGAGGGCTAATGGGAGAAGGGGGGAGAGGAACGGGAGGGGAAGGAAAAAGGGAATAGGGAGGGGGCGTGTCGGGTGAGAGTGGCCCAGGGGCTCTGTCGGCCACGGGGCGTAAAAAGACAGAGAGACACTTACAGAGGACAGAGACGGCCTGGGTGGATGGCGGCATCAGCAGTGTGGCGGGTCCGGGGCTCGTGCTCCGTTCAGAGGTGGTTGCACGTGGAGCTGGGGAGCGGTCCCCGGTCAGGAGGGACCGGCGGGTGCCTTGGTGTCCCTCCTGGGTCTCGGCACTAAACGATCGAACCGAGACCCACACAGAACCGAACCAGACTGTCTAACACGAGAGGAGTCTTTATTAGGCGGGAGAGCCTAGTGGACCCAGACAGCCCCGAGCTGTGCAAAGCTTTAGGGTTTTTTCCGGGAGGTTGCTCGCAGGCCAGAACAGCCAAGAGAGAGGTTTTGTGGTTAGAGCAGTTGATCTTGCAAGAACATCTGGTACTTTTTATGGGTGGGGTTGGCCTTTGCGGTTGGGCCATTAGGGAAGTGAAGTGGAGTGGGCAGGGCACCTGGGGCCGGGCGCTTTTTCTCTTTGCGAGGGGCGGGGTTCCTTTTGGAGACTTATCAGGTAGTAATTAACACAAAAATATAAATTCCTGTGTGGGGGACCACCCCAAGTGTTGCTGTCTCCTCCCTCCTTGGACCCAGCTGCCTCAGGCACGGTCTCAGGACAGCGTCTGCTCCTCCGCATGGTCCGGGCACCTTGCTCTGGCTCCGAGCGAGTCTCACTGCATGGTGGGTGTCGCTGCTCTTTCTGTCTGCCTTGTCCCTCTCTGTCCTCCCTTCTTTCTCTCCTTCTGCCTTCTCTCACAGCTTCTCTGCTGCCTGCTCCTCTCCTTTCTCTCCCGCTCTCCCCATGTGCCTCTGGGGGCTCCGGCATCCTCACAGCTCTCAGCCTTTCCTGCCCCTTCCCTGTGAGCCTCTGCTCACCTATCCTCCCTCCTGCGGCGTCCTTCGCACTCTGGGTCTCCGGGAGGCCAAGTTCACCCTGGAGCACGGCAGTGGCAGTGCCCGTGGCCAGGGATGCGAGGATAATTCCCAGGTGGCTTTGCTGCTGGATTCCCTGAATCAGTGCAGCCAGGCGGGGTCAGGATGAGGAGCGGGTGATGAGCAGCAGCTCTGCTGTGGCCTGCGTCTGCAGCGACACGGCCCTCAGTGGCCCTGCATCACAGGCAGCACCACCTCCTCTTGTCTTCAGGGCTAACCTCCCGGCCCTTAGTGCAAACGTTTTGGCTTGCTCCTAGTCAAGAACGAGCTCCTTTCATGTGTATCATCGATGCTTGTCTCATCTGTATTTGTCATAGCTCTTCTATCTAAAGGACATAACTTGCTTAAGGAGTGTGGCTGGATTTATGTAAGATTCATCTGCCTTTTGGGATTTTTTTTTTTCTTTTTCTTTTGTTGCTGGGAATTGAACTCAGGGCCTCGAGCTTGCCAGGCAGGCACTGTGCCACGGAGTTACATCCCCAGTCCCTTTGGATCTAATTCTAATAAAACATATTTCATAAGGAATCCTCTTAGCCCACAACCTAGATTGCCCAGAGCTAAGTCATACTGCTGGAGCATCTGGTCACCCAGCCTTTGGTCCTGCCCTTGCGAGGCCTGGTCTCTCCAGACCCCACCCTCAGCAGAGCTGCTCTGGGAGCCTGAGCGATTCTGACTCCTGTGGGAGTCTCCTCTCGTCTGCGTCCGGGGCGCTGGTAAACAAGGGAGGCAGGAGCTGTGACTCACAGCAGAGATTATGTTCAGGTCACAGCCTCACACAGGTTTAGAATGAGGCAGCTCCCGGGGCTGAAGGGGAGAAGGGGAGGCAGGTGAGGCCCAAGGTGGTTGGGGCAGCACTGTGTGGGTGGTGTGGGTGTGGCCTGATGGGGCGGGCAGCAGCCGCCCTGGGTTGGGCTCTCCACACCCGCCTCAGGCCCGGGGTGTTTCTTCTCAGGGACAGAAGCATCCATACTGGCTTCGCTTTGGGTTTTGGGTCCCTCAAACTGTGATTTCCCACCTGCAGTTGATCCCTGAAAGTCCTCCAGGAGGGCTGGATTCTTTCATGTCTCAGGAGAGCGGAAATACAGAAACTGTAATAAAATGTAAATGATCAAAGCAGTACATTTCCTTTTCTGTCTTTAGGTACTTATTTATTTTGTTTTTAAAATTTTTTATTTTATTTGAACATGCTTGCCGCTCACGTAGTTTGCAGTGGTCTTGGGGAAATGCTATATGGTACACATTACAGCATGTTTCTTTCTTTTTTTAATCCCTCCCCTCCCTCTCCCTTCCCTCCTCCTCCAATTCCCCTGCCCCCTTTTTCATTCCTATTGGTAGTACTGACTCAGCTCAGTTCCGGTGCTGCGTTTACATGAATTGGGTTACAGGGTCCTGTACGCAGCACGTCTGTGTTCCCCTCGTTTCCCCTCCCCCCTCCTCCCCTTCGCCCTTGTCCCCGGGTCCGCTTCCCTGAAGCAAGATCCGTCCCCTTTCCCTTTCCACCCACCCTCTGTCATCCTCTTTGTGCTTTGCCTCGCTCAAATGAGACACCACACAGTATTTTTAAGCTCGTATATCTGGTTTATTTCACTCAGCATTATATTTCTCAGGTGAATCCATTTCTCTACAAATGTCTCAAATGTGTCATTCTTTATAGCCGCATAGTTTTCCGTTATATAGAGCTACCACATTTTCTTTATCCAATCATCTGTAAAAGCAGTGCATCTTCTCAAAAGGGGATGAGAGAGAGAGACAGAGGCAGAGGCAGAGGGAGAGAGAGAGCAGGGCTCCCTTCCCGAAGCAGGAGCTGAGTACACGACAGGGCCTGGAGCTTCACGGGGTCACTGCCTGACCCACAGCTGTGCTTGGGGCCCGCCCTGCCTGGGTCCCCAGAGAGTCCGACTGCAGGCTTCCCGGTCCCGTCTCTTCCGGCCATGGGGAGCGGTCGTCCTCTCTCCCCAGTGAGTCACTCTCCTGCCCCCAGCACTGGGCAACAGCAGCAGGAGGAGCGATGTGGCTGAGCATTTTCTTCTTTTTACCTGAGAATTCTCGGCTGGAAGCCAGGACGCCTTCCCTCCCTCCTCTCAACGCACTTTCAGTCTCGTTCAGCCTGACTGGGGTTTGTGTGCTGCCCAGGGAGCCTCCTTCCTGCAGGGAGGAGCCGCCTGCTACAGGACCCTCTGCCCCCGGGAGGAAGAGTCCAGCGCAGGCAGTGACAAGCAGGGAGACAAAGAGGCTGCAGGGGTGCGCGGAGCTCCTGGCTTTGGACCAGAGCCCGGAGTAGAGCAGAAAAAAGGGAGCTGCACTGTCTCGTTCCTGGCTGGAGGCCACTTCTCTAACCCTAAGCATAAACTCTGCTCTACCTGGGCTAAGTTTGAAATTGGACAGGCCACAAAGAATAAAAATCAGACTTCTTAGAGGGAAAAATGTCCTGGGATGTGTCCTGCCAATGACCCTCACCACCCAGATACAGAAACATTTTATTAATTTAAAACACTTTTTTGGAGAAAGGATCTTGCCGTGTAGGACAGCCTGGCCTTGAACTCACTGTAATCTTCCTGCTTCAGCCTCCCTAGTATTATAGAAAAATTTTATATGGCCCTGATCCATCTTTGAAAAGGGGTAGCAGCCCTGTGGAAGGCTCACCTTCCCCTCGTCTCCACCTGCCTCCAAAAACTGTCCTGAATAGACACGGCATCTAAGCGAGTAGTATGACTGCTCTACAAAAGTAGCTTCTATAAAAGCCGCCCCAAAGGTGTGTGCTCCCCTCCTCCCCGAGACACCCACAAGCAACGCGATTGCAGCTTGTAACAGTTTTTACTGAGTGTTCCGTGTCCGGTCATCCTTCACGTGCTCCTCAGACACCGGGTCACTTCACGTTCACAGCTACGCTGCGCCATGGGTTCCACGAGACCCCACTTTACAAATGGGGAAACTGAGGCACAGAGCAGCTTCAGCTCACCTCGCTCTGGCTCCTAAAGCTGGCAAGTGGTAGAGTCAGGACTCAGGCCGGGGGCTCTGGCTCCTGAGCCACGTTCTCGGTCTCTATAGAGAGAAGCATCCTTCCCAGACATTTCTCCCAGAATCCCAGTGACCCCTTCAGGCTGAGGCATCTGCAACTATGCCCTCCTCTTCCAGAGACCCGGGGGCCTCTCCCAAAGCTGCCAGGGCTCACCAGGGTCAAATCCAAACCGAACTGAGAGCAGTGTTTCACGGGAGGGCCGGCCCGTAGAGTGAGCGAGCTCCAGGAGGGTCGCCGGGCACAGCTGTCAGTGACCCTGACAGATGGGAGGAGACGGGCTCGGGAGCCTGGGGGCACCGTCCTGTTTACAGAACGAGAGCTCGCTGCGCCTGTGTTAGAAACTTTAGGACCCAAACATCTGCATATAAAAAATCACAGAGGTGCAGTATAACTTTGGAATTTTTCTTTGTCTGACTTTGGCCAAAACATTTTTTTAAAGTTCTTTTAGGAATGACCTGAATTCTATTCCTTCTGCCCTGTCCTGTAACTTTAGCAGGTTCTAGTTTGGATGCCTTAAGACGTCTAGACGAGAAGTCTGCTTTCTCTCTCTAGTTTTAATCTGTCTTCTCCGGTGCCACAGCGGCCCTGCCCACCCCGAGTTGTGCCGGCGGCCGCCACTGGCATTGGATACCTTGTGCTGAGCGTTGCCCTCTGCCCTGTAAGCCGGGGCCGCACCTGGGACGCCCACCCTCCAGGCTGCCCGCACGCGTCTTCCAGGCAAGCGTCGTGCTCCCGGGTGACGCGGACTCTCACGAGTTCTGCAGCCCCAGTGGCTCCTGGTGAGGATTTGCAGCCGTCCACCGTGACAAACCTGAAAACTGTTAGCTGTCCCCTAACATTCACGCCCCTGCTTTTCCAGCAGTTTCATCAGCATCTCTTTCTTGGATTCCTTTATCTTTGAAATATCCAATGATTTTCTGTTTTCAGAAGAGAAGCTGGGGGCTGGGGATTTAGCTCAGCGGCAAAAGCACCTGCCTGGCAAGCACAAGGTCCTGAGTTCGGTTCCCGGTACCGGAGAAAAACCAAAAAAAAAAAAAAAAAAAAAGAAGAGAAGCTGTTCCAGTACTTGGTATAATGAGATTTCGGGATGGTGAACTTCAGAAATGGGGACCTCGGGCTGGCCAGCTTAAAGCTGGGTGACTCCTCGCTCATGGGAAGTGGGGTGTCTGCGTTCCACAGCCGAAGGAGCCACAGTGAGGGGAGCTGTCACGGTGCAGGAGCCTGGCACCACGAGGCTGCTGGAGGGAAGGGCGGGGAGCAGGTGCCCAGTGACAGACTGTGCAGGGATGCTAAGATAGTAACGGTGGCTGAGGGAGACTGCGCTGGAGAGACACGGGGGAAACGATCCTCAGAGCCCCGGCATTGGCCGCGGAACAGGAGTGCTCCCTCGGGCTACCCCAGAGGCCGGGCCACATCCACAGGCCACGGCAGCTGTGGGGAAGTCAGGCCCAAGACGGCGGGACTGTTTTCGACCCTCATCTGTTCCCTTGCCAGGCTCTTGCGCGCATTTAGGGCAGCAGAGCTGAGGTGGCAGGGAGGCTTCAGATGAGTCTGGGAAAACGGAGTCTGCGCGTCTCACTGGGCTTTCGGGCCAGCAGCGGTGGCCCCTCTGCCACCTGTGAGAAAGTCACTTCTCCTGGCCCAGGACACAGCGGTGAGCGGCCCCGCAGCCCTTGGCGAGAGGTACAGGTCCTCAGCCCCGTGGTTTATTTCTACCCCCTGCCTCTTCTCACACACGCAGTGGCCCAGCACAGCACCGTGCAGGAAGTCAAAACCCAAAACTAACACAGCAGACTGCGGTAAGTCCCAGCTGGGCGCCCTCATGAGTGCGCTGCTGTGAAACACGGCCTTCGGTGCTGCAGGCATTCGTGTCTGCCGGGTATGTATTTATACACCCGGAGAGGAATTGCTGGGTTACGGGGTGTTTAAATTTAGCGTTGCTGAACATTTTCCCAAAATAATTGTATCTGTTTATACTCCTGCTAGCAACGCACGAGCCCTTCAGCTGTCAGCACCCTGGCCAGTGCTGGGCACCGTCAGTCACGCAAATTCTGGTCATTTTCGCACGCGGGTACTGGTATCTCAGCTTGGTTTTAACTTTCGTTTGTCTGATAAGCAATGATTTTGCCAGCGGATGGGCACGGGTCTCCCAGGGCTTTCCCCTTTCACAGCCTCGGTAGACTCTGGGGTGTCTGAGCCCTGAACCCCAGGGCTCAACACTCCATCAGGGCACCTCTGAGAGGATGAATCAAGGACTTCAATTCGGACAAGATCTGAGGAAGGAACGTTTAGACTCCGAACCTGGTTCTAATTTGGAAATAAGAGGACAGTTGCAGCTAGAATTTTCCAGTTGAAAACATTTATACAAGATGTGAAGAAAAGGGAGACAGGGCTAGGGATTTAGCTCAGTGGCACAGCGCCTGCCTGGCAAGCTTGAGGTCATAAGTTCAATTCCTGGTACCGGAAAAAAAAAACCAAAAAAAAAAAAAAGAAAAGGGAGCCAGCCGCACGCGGACAGCGGGAGGTGCCTGTGGATTTACTACCTGATGGCGTCGGAGCCATGGGCAGGATCAGGCTCAGCTCGCAAAAGGGGGGCTGTCTTTGCTTCCGGAAAACCTGTCTCCTTCAGACTTCCTGGAGCCTCCCTTCCCTGGCACTCACCTGCTGCTAAATCGCTTTCTGGGTCCCGGGAGTCCAAAGAGAAGCAGCTTCAGGAACCAGGAAGCAGCGGAGAGATTTCCCTCTTCTCACCTTGAAATGATATGGTGGGGCTGTCCGGGGGAAGGCCCTGGCCAGAGGAAAGACGGGCCACAGCGGCAGAGTAAGGGGCTGCCCGCCAGGGCCCGGCCAGAAAATACAGTCGCAGGAAGAAGACAGGATTCGGGCAGCCTTGGGGTGGGATGGGCGCAGGCACTCCAGAGTTTGCGTCTTTCTTTTCTTCTCTTTCCTAGCAGGCACTGCTATGGGGCTTACAACTGCTACTGGGCAAGGGAGGCCAGAACTGCGGTCCTCTCTGCCTGCGTAGGGGCATCGCTGTGCTTTTGCTGTTCAGCCTGCTTCCAGAGAGGTTCTCTGGAGGGATGGAGGTGGAAGAGAGGGACAAGCTGTCCGGTCAGAGGACGCAGACGCGAGCACAAGCAGGGCGGGAAGCAGAGTGTGTGCCCTACCCTTGTGGAGAGAGCCGCCTGCTGAGCTAGAGATCTGGAAGCTGTTTCTCTGGCCAGTGCCTCATTTCCCAAGAGAAGTAAAGGAAGCCAGTGGAAGTTAAAGGTCAAAAGCGTCTGTTCGGGGAGGTGGAGGTTTGGAGGACGCAGCTCTGTGAATGACCCGTCCACTCACCCCGGACTCTGCGAGGGTGGGAAGGTGGGCACTGGGTAAGGCAAGTGGTGGATGAGGGGAGGAGGGCGCTGGATGACCAGCTTCCTGAGTCAGTCTTTGCCAGGGGTCCTAACTCGTGTGAGTGTCTAACATGAGGCTTCACAACCAGCGGCGTGCTGTAGCTGACACCGCGTAAACCCAGAGACGCAAGAAAAAAATGTGACTTCTTCTGCTGCGACTAATCTGGCTTAGCCATTAAACTCTTGTTTTCACTGATGACGGGGGCATGGGGAAGGATGGGGATACCAATTTAAGTCTGCCAAATATTGCTATGTCTGCTTCATTTCCTTTTCAAAGGGTCTCTTTTGGAGAGCGCCCTGTGGGATTCCATTTATGTGAACGTCTAGTACAGGCAGAAGTGAACTGATGGTGACGGTGGTCAGAACTGGGGCTGCCTCTGAGGGTGATAGTGTGGGAGGGGCAGGAAGGAACCTTCTGGGGTGCAGGGGACGCAGCAGTCTTGACCTGGAGGGCAGGTGCTGGAGTGGTGCATAGTTAAAGCTCAATGACTTGAACACAGGACCTGTCCACTTTGCACCTATTTGCACATATTACCACTTAATTTAAGCCTTAATGTAAAAATCAACAAAAAGAAAAACAGTTAAAGGTCTCTCGGAGGTGACTATCCGGTCCACATGAAGCTCAATGCTTCTTCTCGGGGCCCTCTCCCTGCTTTCCAGGAGTCTCCGGAAGTGGAGCTTAGGGTGCAGCCCCTTCCTGTCTCCTTGCGTAGCATTGGGTAAGTGTCTTCCAAAGCGCCATGTGTGTAGGGCTTAGTCCTCAGCATGGCACATGGGGAGATGTGGAAACTTTAAGAGATGGCACCTATGCAGTGGTGCCACTGGGAACATGACCTTGGTATAGGGCATAGTGAGACCCTCTCCCTCCCATCCTTTCTTCCTGGCCCCTGTGAAGTGAGGAGCTTTGCTCCACCATGTGTCCTTACCATGGGTCCAAAGCAACAGCACCAGTCCACCATGGACTGACACCTCCAAAACTGTAAGCCAAAATCAACCCTTTCCCTTTATAAATTACCTCAGTAGTTGGAAATAAAAGAAAGCTTACTAACATACTCCTAACCAGATTGTCTGGTCCCACCCGAGTCCTATATAGAAATTCTGCAAGCATCACTGTTGAAAAGTACCTAGAATACTGTTACGGTCTGGGTCGGGAGGGTCCCCCAAAGGGTTGCGCTGTGAAAGTTTGGCAGGACTCTTAGAAGACGGCTACAGCACAAGAGCTCCACTTTCAGCAGCTGACTAACGCTTTGATGGACTCGTAAGTTGATGGCATCGTTAGGAAGTGGTGGACACTTGAGAGGTGGAGCCTTGTTGAAGGGAGAGGGTTACGGGGGTGTGCCTGGGGGAGAAGATTTTGTCCTTATTCCCTTCCTCCTGGGCTCTCTCTCTTTCCACTTCCCGGCTGTCACAAGTGAGAAGCTCTGCTCTGTCAGGCCCTCCCACCACATGTTTTTGCCTCACCACAGATCTAAAAGCAATAGAATCAGCTGACCCAGGACTTCTGAAACCATGAGCACAGGTAAATCTTTCTTTCTTTAAATTGCTATTCTCAGGTATTTTGTCACAGTATCGGAAAGCTAACTAACTATTATGTTTGTATCTGAATGTTGCCCCCAAAGCCTCGTGCAGCTGGAGGTGTGGCTTTTCAGAGGTGGCTGAATCTAGAGCTTGTGATTGGTTCATTGTCTGGTGCTGGGACTGGGGGTATGAGTGCTACGCCCGCCCTAGGGCAGGTAGCCTGCATACAATATGAGGGAAGAAAAGAGGTTTGCGCCTCCCCTTTGCCCCTTTTTGCTCTTGGTGCCTGTGGTATCTCCCATTGCCATGAACTGTTGCCCCTCTGCCATGTGCCACCCTGCCTCAGAGCCAACAAAACTCCGACTGAGACCTCCACAGACTGTAAGCTAAATGAACCTTTCCTTCCTTAACTTTGGGCATCAGGTATTTTGTCTTAGCAATGAGAGAAAAGTAACCAAGACACTAACACAAATATAAAACCATGGAAACCGAGGAGGCTCAGCCATGTGGGGTTTAAAAAAAGACAGAAGAGTCATCAGAAGGGACAGGTCAGGAGAGTTAACGCTGGGGTGCAGCAGACCTTGCAAAACTGATGGGCTGAGGCCAGGTTCTGAGCGGCTATTTGAGAGTTCGTTCTGATGACCGGGAAGGAAGGAGCCGTCACACAGAAACCAAGGGCTTAGAACGTGTGTTTGTTTTGTACAGCAAGGGATTCGTGCATCAGAGTGTGAAGAACTCAGAGACAAAGCACTTACATAAAGTAGACAACTTAGAAACACGTGGCATAGATTTGAAACTGATCCTTGCGTGACTTGTGCTGAAAGTTTTATGAGGGAAATGCCAAAGTTCCTGATTCTCACTTCACCTCAACTCAGCAAGAACCCTGCTTTGTCTTTTGAAGTTTCATCTGTTTGCAGCTTAAGCAGAGCCTTCTTCATTCTAAGGAGTCTCAAAGGTGCCTTCCTATGTGACCCGTGGTAGCTCAGTGGTACGGCATGTGCTTCGCACTCACAAGAAAAATCTCCAGCACCACAAGAAATTTTAAAAAGGAAAAGAAGATTTTCAGTGAAACACAATCTGATTGACATATTATTTGCAACTTGTCTTCCTGCTACCTGCTCCCACCCAGCGGTGGCGGTCATCCTTGGACTTGAAGATCTTTCACAAGGCTGCCTAGACTTTGTCGGGTATCCGGAGCCCCGCTTTGCATAGCCATGTCCTTGTGTGCTTGAGTCACAGCCCTAAAATATTCTGTGCAGGCTGGGGCATAGCTCAGTGACAGAGTGCTTGGCTACCGTGTAAGAGGCCCTGATTTGATGCCCAGCACCACAGAAAAGAAATAAGTAACAATTCTGTGCACAGGGCTGGGGATTTAGCTCAGTGGCACAGCGCCTGCCTGGCAAGTGTGAGGTCGTGAGTTTGATTCCCAGTACTGGGGGAAAAAAAAATTCTGTGCAAATATTATAAAAAATAATTTTGAAAGTGTATTTCTCCATACGATTCATCTAAAATTTCAACCATAAATTTAATAATTGTGAAGTGTGTCGTTTCTCCCACATTGTGAACAAGACACTGAAATAACAAAGCGGCCTCACTGCCCTTTAAAACGCTCCCACCGTACTGAGCACGGCGGCACCTCGATGCCCGCGACCACCCTCCTCACAGCACACGCACTGCTCCTCCTCAGCGGCCCGGCTCTCTACACTGTTCCTCGTGCTTGGAGAATTTGCAGTCCCCTGTATTACTGCATTAAACATAAGTGGGTATATAACAATTATTTTTAAAATTTACTGATATATTATATACATATATACTCTTAAAATGAGTGAACTTGATCTTAGCGCAGTTTTAGGTTCACAGCAAAGCCGAGCGTGAAGTACAGAGAGCTCCTATGCGCACCTCGTCCCCGCCCCAAGCTCCGCCTCCCACGCTCTCAACACCCGGCTCCGCAGGATTCATTTATTTATTTATCTATTTTTTTAATTTAAAGAGTAAAAGAAGGATAACATAATAATAGGGGGGACTTAGCAAATTACAGGCAAAATGGTAGGAAATTATCAATGGTTATTGTTTTACATATTGTTATCTACAAAATAGTTCCTCAGGAAAGCAAATAGACAAATAATAGTGAGTTAGAGACAAAAGAGGTAGGAGATTATCAAGAGTTGTTGTACTA